CACGCGAGTAACGCGGAAGCGCCCAGAAGCGCTTTGGAATTCGGGCAAATTCGTGTCCTGGGCGTCCAGGGACCGAAAGCCCTGCAGACAGACACATCTGTAATAGCCTTGGGACGCTCCACTGCGTGCCGACGGCGCTGGTGGCGGACTGGTCGCCAACCCTTCGTTTCCCTTTTGGAAAGAGCGCTGTGGATCTTCAGGACGTGTGTTGGTCCAACGTGTGTGTGTGTGTGTGTGTGTGTGTGTGCTTACCCTGCTCAGCCCCGCCGATCGCTCTGCGCCCGTGTGAGCCCTCACTGACCACGCACGCCCCGAGGACTGTCGAGAGAGGACACTCCGGCCCGCAGCCCCTGCTCGAGCGCTGGCGCGTGCACGCCGCGCGCACGAGCGGCGCCGCCCCACGCTGCCCGGCGGCAGCGCGGCGCCGATGCCGCCGGGGCCCGGCGGCCGTGCGGGCGAGGCGGCGCGCGGCCTGCTGCGGCGCGGCCTCCGGCGCTTCGGCGCCCAGCCGCTGCACCAGCCGCTGGCGCGCGGCGGCCCCCCGCCGCCCCCGCCGCCCCGGGTGCTGGCCGGGCGCCAGGGCGCGCGGCGCCGTGGCCGCCGCCGCCGCCCCCGCCCTGCCCGCCGAGCCCCTCCGCGCCGTCCTCGCCGCCGCGCGCCGCGGGGCTCCCGGCGGGCGCGGCGGCGCCGACGGTCTGCCCGCCGCCGCGGGCGCCCGCGAGGGCCGCGGTGGCTGCCGCTGCCGCCCCCGTGCTCCAGGCGCCGCCGCCGCCCCCCCCCGAGGAGCCCCTGGCGTCCGAGGCGGACCAGCTGCTGAAGGCCCTGGAGGTCGAGGGAATGCACGCAGGCCTGCTGCGGCGGTGGGAGCAGGTGGAGGCGCTCCACGGCGACGGGCGCTTTACGTGCGAGCAGGTCGCCCGCCTCTTCTCTCGGTGCGGCGCCATCTTCAGCTCCTACACCCCCGTGCGGCGTGCTGCGGGCACGGCACTGCCCCTGAACTTGCGCCTTGTCCAGCTGTTCTCCAATTACGTGTGCGAGCGGATCCCTGAGCTCACGCCAGAGCAGATCACCATCTTCGTGGTGTCACTGACGAGCTCTGCCCAGGCCATGGACGAGTTCTGGCTCTTCATGCTGGCCAAGCGCATCCAAGACACCGCGTCGCAGTTCAGCACGTCGCAGGTTGTGACGATTGCCCGACGGTACGCGGACAGGGAGCTCGAGGACGGCGAGTTCTTCGGCGCGCTCTCACAGCGCGTGCGGGACAGCCTAGAGGAGTTCACCCTCCCGGAGAGGGCCGACTTCCTGCTTTCCTGCGCGAAGCTGAAGTTCCTCGACGAGGACCTGTGCGCAGCCGCCCTGCCTTCCTTCTCGGACCCCTCGCAGGTCGCCGGGCTCGACGGCAAGTGCCTGGGCGCCGCCCTCACCGCCGCGGCACAGCTGGACCGGAGCGCCTTCTTGCCGCGCGCCTCGTGCAGGACGCTTGCGGCCCGGCCCCTGGAGCTGCGGCGAGCGGTCAACAGCGCGGACCTGATGATGGGCGCCGCCCTGGCGGTGGTGCAGCTGCGGCACCCTGCCGGCATCGTGGAGCTGCTGCCGCACCTGCTCAGCTGCCTGAGCGTCAGCCACGCAGGCAACCCCCTTGGGAGAACGAAAAGGATAACGTAAACATAACAACTCGGAGGTCCGCGCGGATTTCTTGGATCCGCGCTGGACCCCCCCCTGGCGCGCGCAGCGCGCCAGGGGCGGCGCTGGAGGCGCCGCCAGGGGGCCCCAGCGCCGATCCGAGAAATCCGCGTGGAACTCCGAGTCATTATGTTTATGTCACTGTTCGTTCCCCTGCCCATCCTTGCCCGCGGCGTCAACATCAAGGCCGCCTTCGCGAAGCGCCGGGTGACGCTCCTCGGCCTCTGCATGGCGTTCGGCCTGCCCAGCACGGGCGCCTGGCCGCTGCCCCTGCTGCAGGGCACCGCGCACACGCACGAGGCGCTCAGGCGGCAGGCGGTGCTGCGCGCGAGCCCCCGGGACCTGTGGGAGCCGACCCCCAGCAGCTTCCACCTGGAGGTGGTCGCGGTGCTGAGGATTCGAAGAAGAACAGACGCCATCAACAGAAACCTGTGGCGCTCCGCGCGGATCTCTTGGATCTGCGCCGGGGCCCCCCTAGGCGGCGCCTACGGCGCCGCCCCCTGGCGCGCTCGGAGCGCGCCAGGGGCGGGGGGGGGTCCAGCGCAGACCCAAGAAATCCGCGCGGAACGCAACAGGTTTTTTTTTAGGATTCCGTCTTAAAACTTAATAATACATGCTGTAGTGCTTGATGTTTTATTGAGTTTAACATATATTCGAGATATTAGCGTTTTTTCTTCTGGAGGATCTTGGACGTCGAGCACGACGTGGAGCACCCCCAGGACCGGAGGAGGGCGAGTGGAGAGCAACAGCAGCTGGCCTTTCGGTGGGCCCCTGGTCCTCCTCCTCATCATCATCATCATCATCTCCTTCCTCCTCCTCCTCCTCCTCCTCCTCCTCTTCCTCCTCCTCCTCCTCCTCCTCCTCCTCCTCCTCCTCCTCCTCCTAGGTGGCTCGATGGGGTCCTCGCGATGGGGTCTGGGGCTCGATTTGGAGACGCCGCAGTCTCCGCTCGCCCGGGCCCGATAGGACCCCTTCTGCCTGGACATCCGGATCATGCCTGCGCAGCTGGAGGCCGCGCGCGCCACGTCCGCCTGGGCCTCGGCGGGCTGAGCGGCTGGCGCCGGCGGCGGCGGTGTCCGGCCTGGCGGGCAGCCCGGCCGCCTTAAAAAAAAGATGCGCGGCAGGATGACTCCTCTGACCTGCAGGAGTGCTAGAGAGTAGGCCTCCAGACCTGCAGACCGATCTGGACCGGTGGAAACCCCGGCAGGGATCTAGATGCCGAGATCTTGGTGCTACTTCTAGCCCTCCTGGGAGGTCAGAGTCGATGTTCCCAGGTGTCGCGACGTGGAAAGATGGCACGACGGAAGGCTTTTGGCGATTTTCGGCCGCGCAGGGCCCTCACCGGGCTCCTAGGGTTAAGTCGGGCACGTCCCTCTACAGGAGGAGAAAATCATAAAGCAGTAACAGAAATAGTCTGGGGACGACTTTTCTGACATTTGTTGACCATTCTTGAATTTTATTGAACATGTTTTCGTTGAAGATCGGCCTGTAGGGGGACATGCCCGAGGGGGCGGAGGGGGGGGGAGCCCTGGACAAGACATGAATCATATCCATGTCTATTTATGTATGGTATATGCGTGCATGCATGTATGCCTGCATGCAGGCAGGCAGGCAGGCAGGCAGGTAGGTAGGTAGGTATGTGTGTATGCATGTATGCATGTGTGTACGTATGGATGGATGCATGCATGCATGCATGCATGCATGCATGGATGGATGGATGGATGGATGGATGGATGGACGGGAGGACGGATGGATGGATGGATGGATTGATGGATGGATGGATTGATGTATGGACGGATGGATGGATGGACGGATGGGTGGACGGCAGGACGGATGGATGGATGGATGGATGGATGGACGGACGGGCGGACGGACGGATGGACGGACGGATGGATGGATGGATGGATGTAGTATGTATGTCTGTATACATATTTTGGGGGTGGTTATACATACACATATATGTTTATACATATATATACATATATATGTATTTCAGAGTGAGGGGGCTGAACCGAACGGTCATTCACTGTCCCTGGGTGTGTGGCTGAAGTGGAATTCCGCGATGCGGATTCTTGTTGTTGTTTGTTGTTTGTTGTTTGGTTTTTGTTGTTGTCGCCGTCCCACCCGCGACCCGCCCCGCGACCCAACCGCGACACACCCCGCGACCCACCCGCGACCCACCCGCGACCCACCCGCGACCCACCCGAGACCCACCCGGAGACCCACCCGCGACCCACCCGCGACCCGCCCGCGACCAACCCCGCGACCCGCCCGCGACCCACCCCGAGACCCCCCCGGCGACCCACCCACGACCCACCGGCGACTCACCCGCGACCCAGCCGCGACCTACCCCGCGACCCACCTGCGACCCACCCGCGACCCACCCGCGACCCACCGCGACCCACCCGCGATCCACCCGCGACCCACCCCGCGACCCACCCAAAACTTTCGGCGCCTGCGGCGGGCTTCTTTTGCATTCGTTCCAGGTGGAGAACCTGCGACCCACCCGCGACCCAAACCGCGTTCAGTGTACGAATCAAAATGTTCGGCGCCTGCGGCGGGCTGTGTTTAAATTCCTTCCAGGTGGAGGTGGAGAGGCCGCGACCCATCCGCGATTCAAACTACATTCACTGAACAAGCCAAAAATTCGGCGCCTGCGGCGGGCTGTTTTTGCATTCGTTCCAGGTGGAGAACCTGCGACCCAAACCGCGTTCAGTGTACAAATCAAAATTTTCGGCGCCTGCGGCGGGCTGTGTTTGAATTCCTTCCAGGTGGAGGTTGAGAGCCCGCGACCCATCCGCGATTCAAACTATGTTGACTGAACAAGCCAAAAATTCGGCGCCTGCGGCGGGCTGTTTTTTCATTCGTTCCGGGTGCCCCATCAGCGATCCCCCCCGCGCTGAATTTGTGAAAGCATGCAAATCGGCGCCTGCGGCGGGCTTGCTCGCATTGGGTTGGGAAAGCGCCCTCATGCCACTCCCCCGATCTGGCTCGCGCTGACTCTACAACAGCACGTCGGCGCCTGCGGCGGGGCTTTGTCTGAACACGTTCTTTGACACGTCGTCGTCGTCGTCGCGTGCGTTCGTCGTCGTTGATGGGGTGAGAGAGGTAGGAGTTCGGATCCTTTCCCCTCGGCTATGGGGCTGATAAGACACAGCCGCATCAAAAAGAAGAGTCTTGGCAATCGGCCGGCCGCGCGCGTAGCTCTCCACGCAGAGGCGCGGAGCGAGGCCAGCCGAAAAAATTGCCGCCACAATCGCAGCCAGGCACGAGTCCTTGGGGAGGACGGTCCAACCCCAGCGATTGGGAGTCAACATCGCTGGCCAGGAGAGCCGGCGGAAGCGTATGAAAGGGGCGCGCATGTGGCGCCAATTGAATTAGGGGCAGCCCCCCACAGGCTGCCAGAAACATCCGAAGATGAGTCAGGCCGCGGAGCAGCACGCGGCGCATGCAAGTCCTGGCAGATCGGCCGGCCGCGCGCGATGCTCACCACGAAGAGGCGCGGAGCGAGGCCAGCCGAAAAAAAATGCCGCCGCAATCGCAGCCGGGCAGGAGTCCTGGGGAGGACGGTCCTACCCCAGCGATTGGGAGTCAACAGAGGTAGGAGTTCGGATCCTTTCCCCTCAGCAATGGGGCTGATAAAACACAGCCGCATCAAAAAGAAGAGTCTTGGCAATCAGCCGGCCGCGCGCGTAGCTCTCCACGCAGAGGCGCGGAGCGAGGCCAGCCGAAAAAAATGCCGCCACAATCGCAGCCGGGCACGAGTCCTTGGGGAGGACGGTCCAACCCCAGCGATTGGGAGTCAACATCGCTGGCCAGGAGAGCCGGCGGAAGCGTATGAAAGGGGCGCGCATGTGGCGCCAACTGAATTAGGGGCAGCCTCCCCCTGGCTGCCAGAAACATCCGAAGATGAGTCAGGCCGCGGAGCAGCACGCGGCGCATGCAAGTCCTGGCAGATCGGCCGGCCGCGCGCGATGCTCACCACGAAGAGGCGCGGAGCGAGGCCAGCCGAAAAAAATTGCCGCCGCAATCGCAGCCGGGCAGGAGTCCTGCAACCCCAGCGATTGGGAGTCAACATCGCTGGCCAGGAGAGCCGGCGGAAGCGTATGATGTGACGCCACTGAATTAAGAGCCGGACTGGACGAGGCGCCAATCCAAACAACCCTTGCCGAGGGCCCAGCGACATACCAACCCAGAGCCCCCACCCGCGACCGAGCCGCCGCCCCAACACAAGCCAACAGCAACATAGACCATCATGCCCAGGCCCGGTGCCAGCAATCATGCCCAGGCCTCCGGCGCCGAAGCGGAGGCCAGCAATCATGCCCAGACACACAAGCCAGCAATCAGGCATAAGATGCCATCGGCGCGCAGGGCAGAAGGCCGGAAGCCCGGGAAGCCACGGGAGGGCACGCCGACGGGAACCCAACAAAAGACGCTCAGATCAGCTACCCGCCTCAGCCCGCGCCGGGGCAGCCTCCCCCAGGCTGCCAGAAACATCAAAAGATGAGTCAGGCCGCGGAGCAGCACGCGGCGCATGCAAGTCCTTGCCGCGGTAGCGGATCTGCGGTATTTATGTCATCTAAGCACATAGAATCTGGGCCTGTGGCCCCGGGGTGCTGTCCCCGCGCCGGTGAAGTCCGTGGAGCCGATGGTGCTGTCCACGAACGGCGCCCCCCGCAGGGGTTCGTCGTCGTTGTTGTCGTCGCTGTGGTCGCCGCCGCCGTCGCCGTCGCCGTCGCCGTCGCCGCCCCGCCCCACCCCCCTGGCGCGCGCTCGCGCGGAGGAAGGGAGGAGGAGCAGGGCGAGGAGCAAGAGGAGGAAGACGACGAAGACGACGACGACGAGTACGAGGACGAAGAGGAGGCCGACGACGAGGGAGGGGGCGACGGAGGGGGACGACGAGAAAGGAGGGAGGAGGAGGGGGAGGAGGAGGACGACGACGACGACGGAAAGGAGGAGCGGGGAGGATCGGGATGGGGTAGGAAGAGGAGGACGAGGAGGAGGAGGAGGAGGAGGAGGAGGAGGAGGAGGAGGAGGAGGAGGAGGAGGAGGAGGACGTGGAGGAGGAGGAGGGACGACGACGACGACGATGAGGACGAGGACGCGGACGAGGAAGAGGAGGAGGAGGGGGAGGAGCAGGAGGAGGAGGGGGAGGAGGGCGCCATCGACAGGGAAGGTGAGGGCCACGATGTCCGCCGGCTCGACGCCCGCGCTCGCGCCCACCCCCCTCACTCTTATCCGCAATTGCGGGGTGCTACGTATACCGTAGCAGCCCGCAGATGTAGTTAAGAGTGGGGGGGCGGCGTGGACGTTGGCAGTCTGCGAGGCTGTTAAGACGCCCGCCGCAAGCGTCGATTGTTTCGCTGCGTCATAGCAGTGCGGGTGGGTCGCGGGCAGGATCGCGGGTGGCTCGCGGGCCGGGTCGCGGGTGGGTCGCCGGTGGGGGGTTGGTCTCGGGTGGGTCGCGGGTGGGTCGCGGGTGGGTCGCGGGTGGGTCGCGGGTGGGTCGTGGGTGGGTCGCTCGCGGGTCGCGGGTGGGTCGCGGGCGGGTCGCGGGCCGGGTCGCGGGTGGGACGACAACGACTTTAACAACAACAATAACAACAACAACAATCATTTTACCCTCATGCGCCATGCTTCCACATGACACATGCATCCATCTGGATAACACACCCCATCATGGGGGATTTTTCTGGCATGCGGGATCCGATATTCCCTCACCCAGATATCCCGCCCAAAAAGGTTTGGCCACCACCTCTTCCGAGGAACTTCAACATCCATAGCTCGGACGGCACATCGCCTTCGCAATCGCCTTGC